GACTTGATACATTCTCAAACGTTTCGCCGGCATCATCAGGTAGTTTCGCCATTCTCCGCACCAAGCTACGAGCTCGTCAAAGAGACAAGTGAAGTCAATCCCTCGACAAACATTCTGCCGAAAAAGGTCAGACTATCACTCATATTTCTGTCCTGGCCTCTTATCAAACCTCCGCTCTATCACAACTTCTGACTTGTTTACATTCCATTCGTCAAAATGTGTGTCCTTTTGTGGCAACGTGGAAAAAATCGAGTCTCCCCTCCCAGCCAATATGAGTAGATCTGAAGGAAAGCTGAGTTTTGAGAAATTAATATGATAAAAAAAGTTGTCTGGATAGAATTTGTGCAATGGCTTTTGACTGGTACAATTCGACAATCTTTCCACTGCACTAGTCAATCGTCCTTCGATTTCGGGAGAAGTCAATTCATCAATTCCTTCGAGCTAACTCTTCGTTCGAAATGAAAGTCGAGGGTAGAGCCGCCGTCGGTTGAATACAAAAAGCAGTCAAGATTGAGGCACATGGACATCAATAAGGTTCCTGATATCAGCGAAGACACCATCTTCAACGCCAGCATCAGCAGCATGTCGTGGCTAAGAAGTGCATATCAGTGCAAAATCTACCACAAATAGAGATATGAAGAAAAGCTGGATTTCGAAGAATCCCCTACTGGATTGATGCTGGCGTATCTTTCATTTCGTTTGAGAAGGCGGGTCGGAGGGATTCGTAGCTTGGCCTCACCGGATACCGCAGGAGGGTTGCCTTGGATTTACGCGAAGAAGACCTCCGTTCACCGTCCTACGACCCCGATGACTCTGTGCTCAGCTTTCGTCCGTCATGTGACGGACATCATCAGAGCCAGAAAGCATTATTCACGAAAAATGCACCAAAAAACACTAAAGCAAAAAAAGTAGCCAGCTGAGATATTACTTACTTCTAATACTTTTCTTGGTTTAGTGTTTTTTAGTGATTTTTTCGTGACGATGACGCAGAGTCATCTGGGTCATAGAACGGTGAGCCGAGGTCTTCTTTGCACAATTCAACAAACAAAAGTCCGAGGCAACCCTTCTGCGGTATCCGGTGGGGTCGATCTCCGAATCCCTTCTCAAATAAACTGAAAGGTACCCCAGTATTTACCACCATTTGCTGTCGTTCAAGAGAATCTGGTTGCCCCAACAAGCCCATGACTCGAATCCGGCCGGGAGTGCCAACGAGGGGCCGAACCCGTGGTCAGAAGAGACTCGGCGAAGTTAGCGCCATCGCAACAGACACGCTTTTGAGTCGAGATGACACGAAATGGCGGAGGGAAGAAGAGTCGGATTGGACGTGAGGAGCAGGTCTTACCACTAACTCTGCTCAGACGAGGTCAGGCAGACGTGCCAACCCTCGCTGACCCCAAAAGCAGCGTCTTTACCCATTTTTTCGCGTCTTTCCCCCGGAGATCGACACTACAGCGCCTGGCGATAGCCCGTTTCTGCTTTCATTTTGTCCGTCCGAGTGAAAGCAGATTCATCAACACCGACAAGCATATGCTGCTCCCCGGCCAACCCCAGCCAGTCGGCTGCTGATCTTGCCCTCCTGTCACTCGGAGGCCAGGGCAACAAATGAAAACTTAGTGTGTACAAATGCATATCCTTGTGTCTCTGGGTCAGTATAATTGTGAGAGGAAGGGAACAAGATACAGTCTGACGGCTTCTCAACTGGATTGGTGGAAACTTTCGCTACACCCGATTTGTGAAGTATTTGGAGAGGCGGGTCGAGATTTTTGCCTTCTCATAATTTTCCTATTGATCTTGCTCGGCATGCTCCAGAAGAGGTTACCGAGGCTGGCAAAACCGTACTAATTGGACGAAAATCGAATTGTTACTTGTTCCAGAAAGAGGGGACACGGCCAATGTGCTTGGACAAGCAGTCAACAGACCTTAAGCGACCCAGGGCGACTAAGTTTGTATTATTAATAGTTAGTGATAGTCTCGACAGCACTACTCACATCGAAATGGAGTAACATCGTCGATTGCAGTTGCAGACACATGTTGGTTTATTATTACATGTACGAAGAAAAGTTGGGTTTCGAGGAATCTCTTGTTTCACACAATTGTTGAGCTTAATTCCATTTCGAGTGGAAGTGTTGGGTGAAGAGATCCGAAGGTCGGTTCCACCAGAAGACGACGGCGGATTCCTCTTGACCAGCTGTCGATTGG